AACATTATCAAGCTCATAGCTTAGCAGCTGCTCAAAAACCAAGATACCCAACTAAGTCGAATAATGTCTACCTGAGAGCTTCCTGAATGGCACCTATAGAATAACAACAAGGGCTTTGTAAATATTGTGCTCATACATGTACTCAATTGATGCCGTAGAAAAATCGCCCTACCAAAGTTTTGAAAGTGGTCGGAGATTGCACGTGACAGTGGCGCAGGCTTTTTCAATCGCATATGGTCGTTGTTGTTTATGGGAGTCAAATGATAAAGTGATACATGATAAGTTTAACGAAAGAAGGTCGACGTCAAGTGCATTTCATGCTTAGCTGAACTGAATTATGAAAAAATGAGTGTGACTTCGACTTGCAAGATGCGATAACAATGCACCTTCAGTACGGGACGTACGACGACGATACCCTAGTTAGTGAGCCACATTTTGTGACGGATTTGGCTCAAAAATACTAAGAAGTACACCGACGCAATATCATGCAAGACACTCCTTTCTTATCTTCTAGTCTCTTTCTCTTGTTTGCGTGGAAATGTGGTTCATTGGCATTCTGACATAGTACATTCCTTAGATAAGACTTGTGGGTACTCATGATACTCTCCCTATCTTGGGCCCGCAGATGCGTGCGAAAATTGAACAATGTTTGCGGACGTCGTGCAGAACAAAGCAAAAGGCGTATCCTCTTCATCCGTTTTTGCTCTACCATCTCTATGACAATGTCAAGCACCTAAACAATTGAGCCATCTCATATCTACGACAAACATATACAGCAGTACTTTGCAAGTTCAAGCTCACAGCTGAAGCAGTAATTCCCGTGTAGCTTGCATCTTAGTTACAGGTTGTCCACTAAAGATTCAAGGACGATGAATGTAAAGCACGATATCGTTCAGAATACTGAATGTACAGGTGCGCGTCTTGCTTTGTTGTAAATATCGTTAGCGTCGTCATCCTCCATTTAGCCATTGAACTTAGGTAACGTATGAAAAGAGTGCGAAAGCGGGACGGGACGTATCGAAAGCCTCAAACTGTCACACAACTAGGATGTCACACCTGTTTTTACGATAGAAAGTGACAGACTGTGAGAGACGATACACGCATGGGTTTTATGGTTTCATGGAAATCACTATTATAAAACATAGTAAACATCAAAATTTATAACAACGACGTGCAAGAAATTGCGAGAAATCGAAAGAATTGACCAAAAATAAGAGGAGAAATACATTCAAAAGACACTTATCATCCTCACCTCCAGTGATTCATTTCATCTATTTTAAACGTAGGGTCAGAAACTCATTTCTCGAATATCAATCACCACCGTCTCCAATACTAAAAATGCGTGTTGTGCCCATTATTCGTCGCCTTTCGATCGCTCGTGCCTTTCGATCGCATGTGGTGCCTCGTGCTGCTGCTCCTTTTGTTTTGAATTCCGTTCAATTCACTCGTCCATCTCTTCAATTCACGTCCATACGCTCATTTGCGACCGATGATGACAACGATTTATTTCTTGACGATGAGGAAGATGATTCTTTTGTGCAGTACCCCCCTGTTGATGCCCGTGTGCAGTGTCAAGCACCTCCATTTACTGCCCGTGCGGTAGTGAATGGAGAGATTACGGACGTGTCATTGGACATGTATCGTGGTCAGTACGTGGTACTGTTCTTTTACCCAAAGGACTTTACGTACGTGTGCCCCACTGAGATCATTGCGTTCAATGACCGAGCAGAGGAATTTAAAGCACTTAACACGCAGCTGATTGCTGCGTCCTGTGACTCACCCGAGAGTCACTTGGCCTGGACACGTCTGCCTCGCAACAAGGGTGGATTGGGGAAGATGGACATTCCCATTGTTTCGGATATTACTAAAGTCATTTCAGCCAAGTACGGCGTGCTGGTGGAGCAGGACGGCGTGGCTCTCCGTGGTCTATTCATTATGAACAAGGAAGGAGTGCTGCAACAGATTACGATCAACAATATGCCAATTGGCCGTAGTGTCGATGAGACTCTGCGTCTCATTAAGGCGCTGCAGTTTGTTGAGGAGCACGGAGAGGTATGCCCTGCCAACTGGCAGCCCGGTGAAAAAGACCATCAATGCCAACCCGACGGGGAGCCACGTGTACTTTTCATCGGTCAAGGAAGTTGGTGAGGACGACGATGAAGAAGACGATGATGTTGCTATCTTGACGCTGGTGAAAACCAAAGCTCAGTTCCAGGAGCTGATCAAGAGCGGTAAGCCTGTTGTGGCTGACTTCATGGCTCCGTGGTGCGGCAAATGTGCGCAGATCGAGCCAACTGTGGTAAGCCTGGCCGAGGCTCACCCGGAGGTGACGTTTGCGAAAATGGATGTTTCAATCCCCGAAGTGGAAAAGCTGAAGGATGAGCTTGAGGTCGGTGCGTACCCGGAGTTCCGCTTCTTTAAAGATGGCAAAGAGGTCCACGAGAAGATCTCAGGCTACAAGAAGTCTTTGCTGAAAAAGGTTGTGCAGAAGCTGCTCTGATGTATTAACATGAGATCAAATCAAGGCTCCTGCTCCATGAGCATCGCAGTCTCTTGTTTTCAGCAACAATTTTAACCACAGCATAACGCAATGTGCGCCATTCAATTTTTCTTGTATGCTTTCGCGAATCTCTTATGCCCTACGCACTGTCGGCATCGCACCGCGCACGAACTAGTTTTTGTCGGCGTTCTTTATCACAGGTAGCATCCGAGAAGTCTATGGAGGTCAAAAGTGGTGCTTTACAACCGAGACCTGCCAAGTCGCTCCGACCACTAGCTGCTTTAATCGGGGCCGTGATGCCAGTACCGTGTTTGCCAAGACCCTCGCCGCTCTTCCATCCCATCATCCTGAGCATTTTACCACCAATACCGGACTCAAGAGAGCTAGCTGTAGGTGCAGGATCGGGTTTCGACGACGTAGGAGCACTCCATTGATTGTTTCGAAACGGTTGAGTTGATGGCGCATAATCATCTTGCCGCTGTTTTTTGGCATCTCGCTCCATCTCCTTTTCATGTTCACGATATTGCGCAGCAATGTGTTGCTTGTTCTCTTTAGCCTTCGCTAAGTTGGCCAGGTGCAACTTTGACAATGTTTCGTGCTTGCGAAGAATGTCTAGCGATCCGAACTTTCGCCGGCAGAGCTATCGGTGTCAAATAAGATAATCATACGTTAGCCTGCTACATGGGGTCGCAAGAATAATCTTAAGTCCGT